TTCCTGACGCCACCGGAATCTACCGCGGCGTTTTCAACTGAACTTAAAACGCCCTCGAAAGACAAAGATTTTTCAGTCTAAATAATAGGAAAACTATTTATAACGATCAGATAATAACAACTTTGCCCGTGAAAATAGTACAGATATAATGGACTAACCTATTAAATGTAAGTTAAAGGTCGTGCTGTTTAAAATTGTTTTAAATTATGCAAAATTCCTTTTCACTTGAGATTGTAAAAATAAATCCTCTCTTAGGCGGCCAGTGTCACAACAGTTAATACCACCTTGCAAAATCCATCATGTTGTTCTGCTTGATTTCTTGTTAGAAATCGAGGAATGTGACAGGAATGTAAATACCGAAAAGAACGAAAAATACCGTTTGGATGTAAGAGATCTGACCGAGTGACTAAATTCAGATCTTTTAAAATCAAGTGTTTCCGGCTTTTAAAATATATATATATAATGGTAACTACATCTGAAAAAACGATGTTACAGCAATAAATAACAATAACTCTTAATTAATATTTCGACGGATTTCTACACATTGCATAGCTTTTGATTTAAATACCTTCAGTCATAAAAAACCAACGAGGGTTTAGGTTTCGCAGTACAGATGCTGATGTTGAAGTTAAACTAAAAGTCGTGACACGTTTTTAAAATGTATATAACAGTTCAATAGAAAACAGTCTTATTGGGTATTTTTAATGTTAATTTTCCTCCCATTTCGTTTTGAGTTTTGGGTTTTGAGTCCGTGGTCTCGCAGCGCAGATGCGGATGCAGATGTGTTCCGTGTGCAGAATCAGGTGCCTCGGTCCACTTCGCTTTCCCCCGACACCGTGTTCGGATGAGTGCAAACTCACCGCGGAGTCGCAAACCGACATTTTGCCTGCAGCAGTCTGTCCGACATCAGCCCTGGGAGTTTTGAGATAAATGACCTGCTGGAAACAGTTAAAAACCCAATAATGTGTGAAGGGCACATATAGATATCTATAGCGGACTTATATGAAAGCTTAATGTATGTATTCCCAAACATCTCATCTAGCTCATGAACCATAGTATTTGTACTTGAATTTGAAAGTCGTCAGTTAAAAAAAAAATGCATTCATCATTTATTTCTTGAAAACTGAAACGAAGGACCACACAATCTACTGCCTCAATATGTATAAAGCAAGATTTTTGTATACCATTCTTTTATTTCTTAAGCCCCTAAATTCTCGTTTAATACGAAAACATCACACAAGCGGAGAAAGATGAAGATCTGCCGTTGCTTTAAAGACAATACACCAGTCAGACGGGTGACTGCGTTCATGGCGTGTTAAACATAATAAGTCCTGAAGTGTTTGAAACACAAATGGATAATCATGAACTACAGCTTACAGGTCTGCTCTTTCTCACAGTTTTGAGTGAATTCATGAGGGAACGCGAATGCGCGATTCTGCTACAATAGTTGTTATTAATGTTATTAACCTGAATTATTTTTTCTACCGCAATGTTTTCGGAAATGTACACATTCTGGCATGAACAAAAAAATACAATTTGATGTATATACTAATTCCCTGTACATATTGGATTTATATTGTCTGTATGTATATGAATATTATTTTTTAATTCCTTTCCCTTTTTTTTGCTTATTTATTTGAACGTGTCTGATGTAATATGGCATTCCGTTTTCTCCAACTAGAAACAGATATTTCTCGTAGTGTCTTTCTCATAAATCACTTCTTGTAGGGTAGAGGGTAGAAACTCGTCTTTGAATGCCAGGCTGTAATTTAGACCGCCGGACGCTGTGTTGCAGCTGTTATCGACGTGCTAGAAATCTGCCTATCGAATTAAATCACAAAGCGGTGTAAAAGGCGTGCCCTGCTTGCTCATGATCTGTCAGTACGGCGAGTAGACGGACTGACCGACGGATAAACAGTTTCACCGTTTTCTATGTATGGATTAATAAACGATTTGACGAATACCACACCTCAGGAAGACTGAACGGTGTTTTTTTCTTTCTGCTTTTCCCTGGCCGCACACACAGCCGCAAGGTAGCGGGCAGAGATGGGTGTGGATGGATGTCGCTGTCCGTAAACCAGGTGCACTTTACCGTACCTGCACAAAACGTGCTGTTGTGTTGACTCACGATCGGTAACATCGAGTCCCTGCACTCGCTCATTTCGTACAGCCGCTTGCCAAAGCCGCAGAGCCTCAGTGCCCCGAGCCACCGAGCTTAAAGTCGCTTTAAAGTTGCTGTGTGACCGTCACGCGAGTTTATTTTAATCACTACTTGCGTTTGTGGAAAACAGGGGAGGGAGGTAAGAAAGTGCTGTAATTAAGGGATAATGCGAGTTAAATCTCTCAAATCACACGCATTAAAAAGTTTACCGTTCGCGCTGCGTTCGCGAAAGGCGCTGATCCCCAATATAAATAAATTGCTGCTATCGTTCCACAATTTCATCCATCCACCTGTCTGTTAAACAGTCCATCCATATTTATGCGGCCGTGTTTAATTCTTTTCAAGTTGATTTTAAATTACACACAAAATTACAGCTCTCGTTGTTTCTACGCGGACTGCGCGTTGAATCCACTATCTGGGGTTTCACCTGCTTACTGCCTTGTAACCCAGTCCCGAGGACAAAACAAATAAAACACCATTTAATTTTAAATAAATTAAATTAAAAAAAGAACCTTTTGGGTTTTTCCCCCCTCATCTGTTCTGTTTACAAACATTCCGCTGAACTGAAAGCATCGGTAGTAAATTCCAAGCGGGTGAACAATGTTTGGTTCAAATTATAGCCTGTTTGGTTCTCGAATTACACAAAATCACATGTTTTAAATTACACTCGGGAGCAGAATTTGAAATTTTATGACAAGCCACAGTCTGTGCCATGTCTGATACAATCGATTTATTTACCAGTGGCGGCGTGACCTCCGAAATATCTGAATTAAGCTCCGTGGCCTTGAATTCGACGGGGGTGTCTCAGACGGATGGCACTGTACCCGTCTGAAATATCTTTCGTTTGTATGGTTTGTGGGTCACGTTAAACTATGTTAACCACCCCTCCCCAGAAATGAAACAGTATAATTTGTGTTCAACCAGTGTTTTCAACGTCAATCTGCAGGAACGGCGGCTTGTGTCAGAAAACGCGTTGCTGTGTTGCGCTGTTAAAATCAATGCATCACACTGCGCCTTTCCTTGAACTCTAAAATGTGTCTTTTTCATCCCTAGTTTTTCAGTGAACACCTCAGTACTTCAAAACTGCTGTCTTGTGCTGCGCGCTAAAGGTTGAGTCATTCTCTAACTCGCGTAATAAAATCAGCACACCTACTGTTTTTATTTTAATATTAAATATATCGTTGTCTGCAGCTTTAAAAATACATTCGTCTCAATTTAATTATTATGCACCTTCTAAAATCGTCACGTTAAAAAGGTCACGTTTTCTTTTCGTGAAGGATGATAGGAAATGTTGATGCACATTAATTTGGCGTTTATTTCTCCAGGTTTCGTTTTGTAAACACGCGTTTCAGAGTATGATAAGAGAACAGAAATTGCTGCTCAAAACGTCTCGTGTAAATACCTTATTTATTGAATGACTTGATCAGTTTTGAAGCCCGGTCTGACATTAGCGGAGCTGAAAGGCGGCTTTCATTAACGTATGTTAATTAACTTAATTAGGCTTGCCCTCGGGGTCGTGTGACATGGTAAGCGCTCGCAGCCAATCAGCGGGCTCGCTGGCAGAAGCCGAGTGGGGTTGTGACACATCAGATCCATATGTACGAAGTGTCCGGAGAAATTGGGAAGTTTACCCGAGATTTGTGGGGAGTTTTCTGTCTCAAGTCAATTTAACTCTGCGCGGGCAGCTCAGGAGGATCTGGACGTCCTCTTCCAGCTTCAGGAATACGTCGCCGTGGTGCTGTGCTGGTTTTCGCCTGTCCTTTTTCTTTCCTGGTGCTAATGTGCCAGATGGATCCGGGGGAAGTTTTCTCTGTCTAGCGGGTCCCTCCTCTATATGCGCGCCTCCACCGCTCTTCGTCTTTATGGACTCGGCGACCGATGATGACTATGAGCTCGATGTCTGACAGCTTGATTGCCTCAGACCCGTCCAAGTCGGCCTTCCTGGAGTTCGGGCACGGGCTGCCCGCGCACCAGCAGCACAACCACTACCCCGTGCACGGCTTGCACTCCGGCGGGCACCCGCAGCACGACGGGCCCTTCTCCCCCGCCGCCTCCTCCTACGGCCGCTCCCTGGGGTACCCGTACCCGAGCGCGGTGGGCACGCACCACTCGAGCGCCTATCTGTCCTACCAGCCCAGCGGCCACAGCGGCGCTCTGGGACACACGAGGATAGAAGAAGCAGGTACAGTTATTCCGCCCGGCGTCGGGCGGTGTGTGTGCATGATGTCTGTCCTTCTCCCCCGACAGCGTTAGAGCTGAGCGTCAGCTACAGCGCCTGTCCACCGCTTGAGCAAGCTCTCACAGTGCTGTTGGGTGTCCTTTATTTTCCAAGTGATCTTTTGTACATATTCGTCAATATTTGACATTGAAGTAAATAGCACACGCATTTCTGACCGAGGCTAACGCCGCGGTAATCTCGCTTTTCACACGAAATGGAAAATAAAAGTGTGCAACAGTAACACAGACGCTTAACATCCTTTTTTTTTCCGGCTCGGCTATCCCGTCTCGTTTCTCGATAATGTCCCCCCCCCCCCCGGCTGTGCTATGATGGGCATATTAAAACGAACGGACGTATGTTATTCAATAATTATGCATTTCATAAATCGCTTGCAGATTAGATCTGAAGTCATCGGGCTGCGTCTGTCGGTAAAGACAGCGGGTTTGGATTGTGAAAACATTAGCCTGTCAGAAAAGGCGTTTCTTGTGGATCCGAGCACAGGGCTCGTGTTAAAGTCGATGAATGATGACACGTTAAGAGAATTCTTTTAAGTCACGGTTTTCTTAGCACGGAAGGTGACACGGTGTGGTGTTTCTGTTTGTAGATTTTCGCCAAACCAGTTATGTGTCCTCGAAAGTTATTTTCAGCTGGGGACGAGAGGGAGAGAGAGCGTTGATTCCGAATTGAAGGCAGGCGAGCTTTCTTCCGTCTGAGCGTTTGTCTTGAAAGAGAAATAAATAAAAAACATCCTAGGGAGACATTTGCCTCGGAGGCGTGTTCTCTTTGAAGGACCGTAGAAAATTAAATTTGATGGAATAGATGATTCTCCTTTTAAGTGGCTCCTAAGACGCCTCGTGCCGCCTTCTCTTGCACGCTTTTTTGGGCTGAAGCCGAAAGTATTGGTGCAACCCGCAAATACCCCACACTTCTTCATCTATTGTTGAAATTGTAAATTACTTAATTGTTGAATTGCAGGCTACGTTTCCTGCCCTCCACATTAATTCTTTTAGAAGCATGAAACAAAACGTGCGCTTTCCTTCTGCTTTGCGTTTGCTCAGTTACTGTCCTGTCGCCCAGTGTTCAGGGGCCGCTGAGTTTTTCTAGTTTTTTTTTTAACTTCGTTTCGCTGCTTTGGCTAAAATAATAACTGCAATTTCTGTGGTTTAAGATATATTCAATATGTCCTCCTCGGATTTTGTTTTCGTCAAGTGTAAACGACAGTCCTGTTCGTGGTTAACCTGCTTCTGCAGGCTTCTGAGTCAGCAAAGGGGTTTTCTCCTCCCGCTGGAGCTGTGAAGCGCCCCGACCACACGAGAGACAACATCTTTCTTCTCTGCGTCTTGTGGTCTTCCACAAGCGTGCCATGAGAAAATCATTTGAGAATTATCTTCTGGGGACAGCAGCGTCGGGCTGGAACTGCTGAAAACAGCAGGCGCATCTGAAAGATTCAGACGCGCTGTAATAAGACCGGAATAATTTTATGAAGTGGTGCCATTAATGTTTGTTGTCACCGGTAGAGGAGGACTGGTAGTCAGTGGGCCTCAGCAGAAATTTCAGGATTATGTTAGTAGTACCTTGATTTTTAAAAACGAAAAAAAAAAGTTAATCACGTTTTTTAAGGATACGAGTATACATGACAAAAGAGAAATTTAACTTTTGGGTGAAATTGAGTCTGAATATTATTTGTATTAGTAGTATTGGTATTATTAAATGGCACAGGTGTGGATATACAAGTCAAACTGTTCTCTCAGGTTTACCTACCCGCTCTAAATTTTGCGGGAGCAGAAAATATTGTCAGCATCCTCGTTGGGAATTAAAAAAAAAATATCAGTGGAAAAAATCGCGCCCAAAGTGTCGAGTATTTCTTGGCCTCGACAAAACCGAATTAACCCCGGTAGTTAACTTAATGCGGCAATATAATTTCCATAAGAAGACCCTCTTCTTCCACCGCCTGCGAAGCTTAGAAGATTAATCCCAGCGATTTGAAAAGAAAGGATCCTTTGTGCGGTTTATTATTGCCAAAATCGTAAAGAACAAAAGATGCATTTGTGAGAAGCTCTGTCTGTCGTACCTGGTTCTGATCGTGTAAGAGCGCACAGCCTGCATCAGCGCACGCGGAGGGCGAAATGTCTGTACGTGCCTTTTGTAGAAAATTTTCTGCAACTTCGGACTTCATTTTCACACCTGCCCACCGTTTTCATCGCGCATATTTTCCTCTTCCTCGTCCAGTCGAGTTTTGTAATTTATAATACTCCCACTTAAATCAGAGCTGCATTACTTTTTGCTTTTCGAGTTGAATATTTTTAATTTCTTGATTCGTTTAAACCACTTGTAATAATAATGCAATGCGGCGGTTTAATAAACATCTGAGATTCCCTCCGTCTCATCGAGTTTCATCTTGCATACAGATCATCCCGAGTGCGCTGGGGTTTGTTTAAAGCTACATCTGGAGTATTTGCAGATTGAATAAACACGACAATCGTCTCCAGAAAACAAGCACATCGGTTATAGGCTTCTACAGTTTTGTTTTGGAATCTGGTCTAATTTTGGAACTTTTAAAAATCCATCAGTCTTTTATAGCGCGAGTTGGCGCTTGTCTGGTCTGCATCGCTATTAGTAGAAACGGGTTTTGTTAAAGTGATATTCCATTTTAAATATTAAAGTTGTTGTTTTCAGGACAACAACAGCATCGTCGTGTTTTATGTGTTGTATTTCATCAACCTGTTATCCAATGGATGTTGTTGTAAAACGTGAATTTACGGCAGAGCGTTTGACGGCTCCTATAAATCTCGTCGGGAAATTAGATCCATTTACAGTGAAATGTCAAGGTGAAGCTGTAAATTAAAACAGCTGTCAAAAACCAACTCAGTCCTGCTTCTGAGACTGAAGACCAAACCTGACGGCAAAACACGAGTTTAGCTTTACAGAAGTCTAAAATATCGCGGGTAGCAGGCTGTTTTAGAAAAACATCCGTAAGTGTCTTCGGGATTGAAAGTGTTTCCTCGCCTCTTCAGGCCCGAGTGCGGTGCGGGCCTTTACGAGCTAGTCGGGTCCTGTGAAAGAGGGACACGTTGAGCGCGTTAGTCCGCACGCTAATGCCAGCCGCTCGAATAAGGATTTGGTCTTAATGCTGAATCAATTTGATTCATTTCATTCATATTTATTTACCTTTTAATTCGGTGGTTCCACATGACAGGGCTTTCCGTGGCGCGCTCAAGGCTACGTCGGCGAACATGATGTGTCAGAGAATGGCCTGTTTTATCACGCGTGCAACGTTTCTTTACTTCCTTTACGTTTCCCTGCGAATTCAGATATACCGTAAGGCCGCAATGCAGATCGCATAGTGGCACAGCGAAATTGGTTTTGAACGTTTCTGCAGACAGATCTAGCTTGAACCCCACCGTGTGCACCGCGGTCCCGCCCGCAGCTCCAGACAGGCCGCGCCCGAGCGCCTGTCCAGGGGCTGGGGGGGGGGGGTCTTCACTGTCAGCCCCGGGGGTCTCTCATCGCCCTTCTCTGTGTCTTTCTTTCAAGATCACGAGAAGTCGACGGTGATCGAAAATGGAGAAATTCGGCTGAACGGCAAAGGCAAGAAAATCCGCAAACCCAGGACCATCTACTCCAGCCTGCAGCTGCAGGCGCTGAACCAGCGCTTCCAGCAGACCCAGTACCTGGCGCTGCCCGAGCGGGCCGACCTGGCGGCCAAGCTGGGCCTGACGCAGACGCAGGTAACTGGCCCGTCGGCGGATTCTGTCTCGTTCTGTGTAGTGATGGGCCGCTTGCCTGTGTTTTGGGGGTGTTAAAGGCGACGGTAGGTTTGCCGTCTGGTTGCCCACTGGAGTACTGTCGAATATCTTTGAGCCCAGCGAAAAACATGATAGAAAACACATTGGTGCCTCATTGCACACGAACACCATGGGAGAGGTAACCCGTCCAGACGTATTCCGCACTGAAAAAGCCGCTGCAAAGATTAAATTAGATAGGAACTGAAAAGGCACGGATGAGTTGAAATGTACAATTTGTGTACACGGTCACACACGGTTATATATATATACATGTCGTTTATTTTGATGTGAAAAATACAGACAATCCCATGTCGACTTTGTACGCGGAAAACTCCCGGACCCAGCTCCCGGGCCGGGAAGAAAATAACCCCAGCCGGCCCACCAGGGACAGCTGCACGCAAGGCTTCTCACAATTACAGAATATTTTAGACAGCACATTAGTCTCGAGTTTACATGTATCAAACAAAATAAGAAACCTCACAAGACACCAAAGGAAAGGGCATCGATGAAAATATAGGCGTACATGAAATTATTTCCGCGATAAACCCGGTGGATTATATGAAAGTGTTTAGAAAGCTAGCTCTCTCCAGGAACCTTAACCCATTTTGTATTACTGAAAACACTAAAAAGACGACTAATATTCTGTTATGAAATCATTGCATAACGTCATAGATGAATAATAATTCACTTACACCAAGACTTACTGTCAACAATAATATTTATTTCCATTCAGGGGCGTAACACAACGAGTCAGTCTGAAAGCCATGTGCACACCACAAAATAATAATAATAACAACGGTACGGAAACTGCATATTGGCCTGATGTGTGAATTCAAAACCCTAAAAAGTAAACCCTTTGGCTGTTGTGCTTCAATCCTTTCTCTTGGAAAGCAGCTACCTGGAATTTTCCAAATGAGCTCCGTAAAATTTTATGCTGGGCCTCACACTACGCCTCTGGACCGATGTTGAGAATGCGGGTTACATTTCAAATTTAACTGAGGTGGATTTCCGAGTCTGGCGGTTCTGTACCAGCAGGCATGCCTACGTACTCTGCAAACGAGGTCTTGCCGGTCATCGCGAAGAAGCCTGTGTAATTTAAATTAAAAGTCGGCAAGATGGCGGGAATTCTTAATTAGTGTGTAATTAGGGTTTTGCTGGAGAAGGAAAATGCGATTCTGCTCTGTATTCTGTGTCGGTCGTTAGTTTAATATTTTCCCTTAATGATTTACTCCTCGCCACTGGCGTTCCTGAAATGTTTTTTACAGCAAAACGCCCTAACGGAGGCTGTTGTGTTTTAAACATGTAAGCCATGCTTGAATAGAAATCTGTTTGTTTTATTATCAAACAAGATTGATTAGTGTCCAAACAAAAACAGAACATTGTACCTGTAAATTCCATATGCTCCTTCTCGATTGTATGCAATCATTGAAAAAAACGTTCAGTATTTTATTAGGTGCTGAATAAACTACTCACACCAGACTTATGGCAGAAGCACCGTTTTATTGGAAATACCTTTTAAACAAAACTGGAAATAAATATATGTAGTATTTCACAGATTTGATAAATCCATCTGAGTGTTTTGTTTTTTGTTAAAAAACCGAGGACTTCGTTTTACGGCTCATTAGCTCGACTTTTACGTCTTAAAAATATGAAAGGTAAACTTAATTCTTCCCCAATTCATTTTTTTTTCAACCAATTTCATCTAGATTGTTTTTCAATAGTCTGATCTGGTACCCCGCGACAGTACCGGTTCTGTGCATTTTTAATTGTTCAATTAAATAAAAAAATAACCCCAGAAGCATCTACTGTTGGTACCTTAAGCACTAAATAAAAAAGGAGACATTTCGGTCAGGCGTTATTTTAAACGAGGCAATGCTAGAGCAGTGATATTTTTTTTTTTGCCTCGGGAGACCGATTTCACCGGTTCCTTTTGGACTCGGTTCTCTCTGTGCCTGAGACTTTCAGAGCCAGTCTAGAGACAGTGTGGGGGTTAATGAGTCCTGCCCGTCACCCAGCCGTGACTGATGGAAGGATAGTTGCAGGCTTTTAAAGGACATTTTGCTGTTTGAAAACCAGGTTTTGAGGTTCACACATTCGCCTGGACGTAGCAGTAATTTTTCCTTTTAGCCTGAAGGAGCCACATAATGAAGATGTGAATTTTGAGGGTTTCGAGAGACCGCTTTCCCCCAGCCCCCCAATGAAAACAACCTGGGCACTACTCTCGGACGTGCCGCACAAAGAAT